AAAACTATAGATTCGGCCACTTTATCGATAATAATGTCTATTTCAATAAGATTTTACAAAAAATATATAATGAACAGATTCAACTTAGTTTTATTATATGTATAGATTTGCGCAACGTACAGTGTGCGGTATGCACTATAATTTTTCCTGCACAGTTGGCTAGTCTCAGTAAGAGTAGGGCCCGTAACCCGGGTAAAGTTAATATATCGGATATCCCTTATATGTATATGGGTACATATATTTTTATTAAAAAAATTATAGCTATAATACTGCTTGCTATTGATATTTATTTAATACTACAGGTATATATTTATCCTAAAATATTCTTGGTGATAAAGAATTTAAACACAATCTACTTCCGCATCTATTTTTGCCTCATTAGTTTCAACATCAAAGAAAATTCATTGGTTTATGTTTGGTTTTTGTGCGGTCAAAGCTGGCTATAAAGATTCCAGTCGTTCGAGTTGAAGTGTTTTATTGAATGAGACTACTTGGGCGGGTAGGGCGCAATACTTTAGCTCCACACTTTTGTTAATAGTACCTTTTTTTTTGTTAATAGTACCTTTTTTTGTTAGTAGTAAAACGGCACAATATAGGTATTTCTGTGAATATTTCAACATATTAAGATATTAAAAACGAAATTGAAAAATATACTAATTAATTAGCCCGATATTTTATTTGGAAACGACTTCTTTTAGCAGAAATCAATGTTTGTTTTTCTAATACTTCCTTAGATTTACGCGAATATTTGACATTTTAAATAAAACTATCTTATCGGATTTTCGCAAACCAAATCAAAATAAATCCGCGAAATAATCCGAAAAGATAGTTTTTTTTTAAAGTTTGTTTTTTGTATAAACTATAAAGCTACATAACATGATTTTTTTTTAGTACTACGTAAACATAAGAATTAAAATAAATATCTAACTGACTTTCGCTTTTCGGGAATCAAACCGTAATATTTTTTTCAACAATAAATTTCTATTTTTCAATTAAATAACGACTTTGTCTAGAACTTACAAAAACAATAAAATTTATAAAAATGTAATTTAAAAGTGTTTGTTAAAGTCTATTTTAATAAAGTGTATTTTGATTTCATTAGATTTGAATATTTTAAATATTTGATTACATTTTCTCATACATATTATTTTAGTGGTATTTCATTTTGATTAACAATAGAGGTTTTGTTCACGAAGTGTAACCCTGCCTTTATTATTTATTCATAAGTTGGCAACTATAACACAGGAAAAAATGAGTTTATATACAAATGTAATGTATACACTAAGCAATATGAGTACAAAAGACAAAGTGAATCGTAAATTAGACGCGGTCCCTGGACTATAAATATGTTAGGTCATCTTGTAGGTTTATAGTGCATATATGGCGTAAAATGTTTTACTCTTTATTATACTGCTCGTACACGTATAGTTTGAATTTACATAGGCTTTGATACATATTTTAAATTTTAAAGCATATTATTTAAATTATATCACGGTGTTTTACTTAAGCATTTAATGAAGTCCGTTATAACGTTCTTAGTCTATACATATATTGGAACTGCCTCGGTGGTGTAGTGGCTAGCATGTACGGCTGTACACCCGGAGGTCCTGGGTTTGAGTCCCAGGTCGGGCCAAGTTTAGTTACAGAGTCTTTCTGTATAGTAAGCTACAGTAACAGCCCGGAGCTGGGAAGTTGGCGGTGTTTCACCCCCGTGCTTCGGAGAGCACGTAAAGCCGTCGGTCCTGCGCCTTAACTCTCACTGGTCGTGTCGAGCAGTCGCCCCACCGGAGTATGAGAGTGACAGGAATAGAGAGTGCACTTGTGTCTGCGCGTACACTTGTGCACTATAATATCTCCTGCTCAGTTGGCTAGTCTCAATGAGATTGGTCGCCGTGGCCGGAATCGGTCAGGAGAACATCATCATCATCATCATATTGGAAATATAAATTTTTTGTCTGTTTGTTAACTTTTACAGCGTGAATCTCGGAAGAGTTTTTTACAAAGAGAGTTTTATTGTGATGATAAACATAAGATAAAACAAGACTTTCATTAGATAGCTCATGATTATCAAAATCGGCGACCTTAACTCTATAAGACTTGTGCGCTAAAAACTGTAATGACTATACCTAAAACAATGAAGCTTAAGTATCTTACACTTATCCATATTACATAATTCGTTGGCTCACTATTACAAGGTTCTATGTTAATTTAATAAAGTTTAGTAATTTTTACATAGAACTTCGTTATTTTGTTATCATAAAAAAAACAACATAGAACTATGTAAAATTGAATATTTTGTTGTTAAAGTGCCGCTATCTAGTGGTTTGTTTTTGCAAAACTGTAGCTAATGACACATAAAACCTTGTAGCATTAATAACTAAATAAGTACTAAAATTGAAACATAGAACCTTCGTTAGTCTCGTTAAAACTCAAAAACGGCTGGACCTATTTGAATAATTCTTCTTTTGTTGGGGGTGTGTTAGGGGGTGGTTTAGATATAAAAAAAGGGGAAACCCATAGGACCACCTGGGAAATCGAAAAGTTTATTTTGGAAGGGGTACTTAGAATTAATTTCAATAGATGGCGTTCACGGCGGACCCATCATCTACAACAATGCGATTACCATTAGATTAATTGAGAGATAAATAATATTATATGTATACATAGTTCATCTATTCCATACTAACCGTTAATATAAATATATATAAAAATCGTGATGATAATTACGCTTCATTGTTTTATTAACGAAGGTGAATCATGTATACCTTAGTTTAAAGTCTAGATCAAGCTAAATCGAGTAATTAAATTTTTCTATCAAGAAGTTTTCAGTAATAGATGTTCGAATTAGTTTAGTGATATTACATAACTTTGATTCAGAAAGCACGTGGTAGGTTTTGTTTTTGATATTTTGTCAAGTTGTGTTGGACCATATCTTCGGATTATGAGAGTAGGGGAATAGAGAGTGCAACTATGCTTACGAACACCTTGCGCTCTATAATTTCACATAAATAGTCAGCTGTTTGAGTAAGAAATAACACCATAATCGAATATTTCGAAAGAAGATTACTATATCACTATACCATCATTTATAGAAATACGGATATATATAAGGACTAGCGACTCACACTCGCTCTGCTCGGGTTCGTCCCTAGGTGATTCTTTAAATTGACGTACCTATTTTATCTATGAACCGATTAAAATAAAAGAAATACTAAATGTTAAGTGAAGCTTACTACTTATATATTAGTTAAAACCGTACCCAAATCGGCAAAGCCGTTTCTGAGATTAACGCGTACAAACGTGATAAACAAACAAACCGACAAACAGACACAAATTCTAAAAATCGTTGTTTTGATACAGACCCTCGATGATAGTTTTTCTCAAATATCTTCCATGTACAGACAGCGATCAGTTACACTTTAATTATATGCATAGATAAATAATTATTATCGTATATATATATATATATATATATATATATACGATAAATATATATATATATATATATATACGATAAATATATATATATATATATATATATATATATATATACACAAAAACTCAAGCTTATCAACCCTGCTAACACTAGATAAAAGGAAATTTCCACATATTATATATGTATAATATATCAAAGTTTCATTTAATTAAACCAGAAATCAAAAGCAACATAAATATTATTTATATAGCTCTTCAAACTTGTCAACAAATCTAAACACATCAATTACATATTCAAGCCAATGAATAATATTATAATTTATTCAACGATAATTTGTCTTCAAATTTCATGGCGCATAAATAATTTCATAGGTAACCATATAATTAGGAAACTGTGTTCTCTTTAAACGTCTTGTAAATTTAGCTTTAGTGTAAACAGATGTCCTCGGGCATCAAAGAGTTAATTATCTAAGAATAAAACACTGGAATGGCTCCCTAGAGAAGCATTTACTGTTTCATTTCTTTTTATATCTCACGGTTACAATGAAACGTAGAATTTTTATATTCGAATTATGATAATATATTGAAGTGAATTGTTGGGAAAAACTATTTTAAAACTCAAAATATTTTTTTAAATGGAATAAATAAAATATTTTTGTATCAATATCAATAGTGTTATGATAGAAAGTTTTTATATGTACAATCTATACATATAGTAAAATTGTAACTAAGCCGAATCTGTACATTGAATATTTTTTGGGAAATTTTATTGAAATAGACATTATTATCGATACAGAGGCCGCATCACGGAAAAACCACTGGACAGATTTTGATGAAATTTGGTATGATGATAGCTGGTTATCCGGGTCAACATATAGGATAGTTTTTACCGCGGGAAAATGTTTCATTTCTGAGAAAAAATACAAAATCTGCAATGTAAGAGTATACTAATATGTAAAACCTAAGAATTTGGTTTTTGTTCTCTGAACGCGGGCGGAGCCACGTGCTATGCTAGTACATTATAAAAGTTTAACTAACTTGGATATGGAGATAGCTTATATCTTATTAACACTTAAGTCTATAGAACAACCAAGCGTGAACAACTTCTGGCAATAACTAGTAAGTACGTAAAACGATTAATGAGTTAAACGGTTAATTCATTTGTCACTGCACAATCTTGCCCTAGTAAATAAATTTTCGTTTTCCTGCGGCTCCGCCTGCATAGTACATTAATCAACAACATATCATATACTAAAACCTTCTCCGAAACACGCTGCATCTTATGGTATGAGTATAATTCCGATCGGTTCAGTAGTTATCGCAGTATAACCGAACAAAAAAATCGGCTCTCCATTTATTAGTATAGATATAGTGAACTTAGTAACTATGTGTCATAGAAGTCTCTATGCAAAGTTATTGCTCTTCACTCTATCATTCTATTACTCCGAAAAACCGTAAAAAAAGACAAAATACAAACCAAACAAACAACACACATTCCTAATCATAATAAAGACCACTATCAAAATAATCCATTAATAATTACATATATTATTATCTTCTTCTTAGTCGTACGCTCTTGGCAGAGCGGTCTTGGTTGACCATAAGTTTTCTTTGGCTAATCTAGCCCACGCGATGTGCCTCCATTTATAGCGGTATTCAGCGTCTCGGGAGCACAGGACTGTGGAGTTTTGTGTTACGGCTTTTATAAGTTCTGTCCAACGCGTGTGTGATCGCCCACGAGACCGCTTGCCTTCTACTTTCCCCTGGACAACGAGTCGGAGTATATCATATTATAGACAATTTTTTTATAAACAGACTAAAACGAACTTATTCCGAATCACATTAGTGTAGTAAAAAACTCTATCTTTCATTCATCAAAACTAATATCTTAAAATTTATTGAAATTATCAGAAACACTAACATATTATGCAAATATTAAAAAGATAACTAAAGTAAAAATATTTTATACATTCGTAAATTGAACATTCGTATTTTCTTACACAAAGGAGCTATAGATTATGGGGCAGGTACCGTAATACGTTTTACCGTCGAGATTACAGTACTAAATAAAACCTGTTAGACGTTATTTTGCAACTAACCGGCGGTATTTTGTAAATGTTTAGGCATTTTTATGTGATAAGGAACAATATGTAGGTCGTTCGGTAAGAAAATACATAAATATATAGATAGGCCACCCTTATTATCTAATAGCTGCTATTTGTATGATATATTTTACATTTTTCTTTATTATTTTGGTCGACTTAAATAAAATTTGATATTCAATTCAGGTGTAGGTTTTTTATGTGTAATGTGTATGATACGTGATATCATTACAAATTGACTCTTTTTAGGGGTCCGGGTTAAAATTAACTTTGTTTTTCATAGTGATGTTATGAAGTACACACTTATTTATGCCATTAATAAAATGAATGTCGAATATGGGTAAATATTTTATTTTACTTTTAACTTAACAAATTGGTATGTTGAAACAAAATATTAATTTAATATGTCATGTGTTACGGAACCCTCGGTTTTCGAGTCATACTCGGGCTTGTCCGAATTTTTAATAAATAGGATTAGTCTCAGGTGAATAGTCATATATTTGACCCGAATTATATATAAAAAGGCAGTGGTAGCCCAGTGGTAACAACGTGGCAACCGAGTGATGCGGGTTCAAATCCCGGGACTCGCACCTCTGATATTTTCATGTACAAATTATTTTCAATATGATTAATTACCACTTGTCTTTCGGTGAAGGAAAATATCGTGAGGAAACCTGCATGCTTGTCTGAAAGAATCTAGCAAGTTTTCAAAAGATGGGGACAGTAGGACGTTAAAAAGTCTATGTGGATATAAGTTAGCCTCTTAAAAATAACAAAACATAACATAAAAACCTGTACATAAAATTATAAGTAAATACAAATTTTCAATCTCGCCAAATAGAATTGACATTTAAAAAGAACTAAAATCATATTTCGGCAATTCTATCTCTCATAGTAGATTCAAAATTATACATCACTAGTAGAGCCCGCGGCTTCGCTCGTGCTAAAGCTACAAACAAAATCTCTAAAAAAGTAATTCAATACAAACTTCTATCCCCTATTTTACCCTCTTATAGGATGAATTTTGAAAAATGCTAAAACACATATTTATTTATTTTTATTGAAGAGTATATATACCAAGTTTCAAGTAATTCTGATAACAAATATTTTATTGGATTGTATCAAAACCCGTTTTTCCGTGGGAATTAAGTAATCTCCTGCGATAAAAAGTAGCCTATGTTACTCTCCAGCTCTCTCTATGTTTCAACGTGAAAAAAGGACAGACAAAGAAACAAACAAACAAACAAACACACTTTCATATTTATAATATTAAGTATGGATTTCAAAGTTATAAAGTAACATGGCTTTAAAAATAAATCATTGAGTCAAAATGAAAGGTGAGTGTTTTCATTTAAATTAGGATATTTTTAAATGAAATAGCCACTCACAGAAGTATCAAGTAGCATCGTTGTCGTAATGGAATCCCTCTGAATGACGTCAACAAGCTTCCTGTAACGACTGCGAGAGTAAAAAGAAATGTTATCACAGTTACAATGGCCCTTTAAAATCTTTATACAAAATCCTTTTATCCTGAAGACATTTACGGTGGCGAGGTGTGAAGGTTTTCTTACGTTTATATTTGACCTTTTCTACAGTGGTTGCATGAAAATAAGTTGGAATAGAATACTTATAGCACTTACATATATTACTAAGATTTCTTGTCTTTTTTTTGTAGTTATGTATATCGATGTCTCTTACATTTAATCTATACATATAATAAAATTCTAACTAATTCGAATCTGTACGTTAAATATTTTTTGTAAAATCTTATTGAAATAGACATTATTATCGATACAGAGACCAAATCTATAGTTTTTAGAATTTTTGTCTGTCTGTTACCGCATCACAGAAAAACTACTGGAGGGATTTAGATGAAATTTGGTATGGTCATAAATGGTTATCCGGGTCAACATATAGGATACTTTTTACCGCGGGAAAATATCTAATTTCTAAGGAAAAATACGAAAACTTCAATGTACAAGAGTATACTAATATGTAAAACCCACAGAAATCTTAATAATAAGGTAATTAAGATTTCTGTGGTAAAACCTAAGAAATTGGTTTTTAGTCATCTGAACGCGGGCGGAGCTGCGGGCAATGCTAGTATTATTATAAATTGTTATTATTTTATTTTTATAGGCTCAAAATATTTAATAACTAGCGGCTCACCCTCGCTTCGCTCGGGTTCACCTCAAGGAAAGCACAAACAGATCTATCCCACGGGAACCATTCATTTTTCCGGGATAAAAATAAGTAACCTGTTGTTCGATCTGCAATATAAGGTATCAGCATGCCAAATTTTACTAAATTAGGTGCATAAGTTGTTGTGTACTGAGCTGTATAAGTTACTATAATTTTTTAACTATCCCACGGGAACTCTTTAATTTTTCGGAATGAAAAGTATCAAATTTCATTTAAATAGGTTCAATAGTATCGGAGATTAGCCCCTACGAACAGACAAAGAAACAAAAAATTTGAAAAAATCTGGATTTGTTCTATTTCTCTCCTTACGGTATGTAAGAAGAGAACTGACTCGTTTTTTAGCAATTTTTTCTACCATCTATGTACAGACAGACATTCGACCTCTACAGTTTTATTATTCATATATGTACCTATATTCAGATAGAATAAATAACATATAATAAAACAGAAATATATAATAATGAAAATAGTTATAGCGAGTGTACCTTAGGAGATAGACATATACTATGTAGAACTTTTCTATAGACCTTTTTAAGACTTACAATTTTCTTGTACAATGTTTTGATCTATCTCTTAAGGTTGAGCCAACGTTAGCCGTATAAATTTCTAAGGACAATTCGATAGAACCAGTTATTGTATTTTCCCGTGGGAAGAATAATTTGCCTGTCGTAAAAAGTATTTTAAATGTTGACCCGAGCACTAAGTTTTATCACTATACAAAATGAAGTTAAAATCGGTTGAGTACTTTTTGCGTGAAACGCGCACATCGATTTGACTAAGTTTTATTATAGGTATAGATAAGAATAAATATTGCGAGTGTAACTTAGAAGATAGACATATACTATTCAGAACTTTTCTGTAGGACTTTTCAACACCTACAATTTTTTAGTATATTGTTTCGATGTATGTCTTATGGCTTAGCCAGAGGAAGGTTTCTAGGGAGGACTCGATAAAACCAGTTATTATATTTTCCCGTGGGAAAGAAAAATTTTCTTTAAGTATAAGGTATCTAGGCAGTGGTATCCCAGTGGTAACGCGCTCGCTTGGGAAACCGAGTGTAGCAAGTTCAAATCCCGGGTCTAGCACCTCTGATATTGGCCAGCGTGGTGGACTATGGTGGACCTGATCTACCTCGTACTGAAAGGAGGCCCGTGCGTGTGTTAAAAAGGGCTGAATACATACAAAAGGTACCCTAAATGTTGACTCGAGTAATAATTTATCACTTCACCAAATCTCGTTGAAATTGGTACATTACTTTTCGCGTGAAACGCGCACACAAAAACAGACAAACAGACATACAGGCAAACAAACAAACAGACAATTTTTTTAATAACTATTGTTTTGGGGTCTATGTCGTGTACATAATACGTTACAAATAAACAAAAACATCTATCCCACGGGAAAAAAACGTTTTTCCGGGATAAAAAGTTACCTATTTGTTATTCTGATGTATGAACTATATTATTGTAAATTTTCATCAAAATCCAATCAGTGGTATTTGTGTACTAAGCTGTATAAGTTACTATAGTTTTTTGACTCTCCCACGGAAACTCTTTAATATTCCGGGATGAAAAGTAGCTGATTTGTTTTTGTTATGTATGAACTATATTATTGTAAAGTTTCATTAAAATCCAATCAGTAGTTTTCGTATACTAAGATGTATAAGTTGTTATAGTTTTTTAACTATCCCACGGGAACCCTTTAATTTTCCAGGATGAAAAGTATCTAAGATGTTGCCCGGGGATATAAGGTACCACTATGCAAAATTTCATTTAAATAGGTTCAATAGATCCGGAGATTAGCCCGTACAAAGCGAAAAACAGATAAACAGCTCGCTCGGGTTCGTCCATACATACGAATATGTTGTATTATCTCTTGAACCATTTGTCCAAATTATATGCAGTAAAAGGGAAAAGTCTTTTATTTTAAGCATTTTAGACGATAAATTTACTTATTTTGATAAGAATTCATAATTGTTGATAATATGACCAATAAACATGACCTACCGATTTAAATGATTTTTTTAATATAAAAAACTACTTTTTGTGACTTAAATATAAAAGTTAGACATATGCTGTCGCTGACTTTTTTATAGGCATTATTAAGCTCTACAACTTTTCTCTAGAACATAATCATATATCTCTCATCGTTAAGGCAGCGTTCGTAAGAAACGTTTCCGTTCGACCGTTTTTTCTCCGACTTACTTTGCAAATCCGACTACCACGAAAAAGCCTTTTCATTTTTCGGGTTAATATATAGCCTATGACACTCAGAAAGAACGTGGCTTTCTATTGGTAAAAGAATTTTGAAAATCGGTTCAGTAGATCCAGAGATTACCCCCTACAACGTCACAAACTCACAAACTCACAAACCCACAAACTCACAAACTCACAAACTCACAAGATCACAAACTTTACCTCTTTATAATATTAGTATAGATAATTTGATTTATCCGTCCACTTTCAATTAAGAATGTTACTGCGATAAGTTAAATGTCGAAGATTTCATAAATGCCTTTTGATCTCACAACATCAGAACCATAAGTAGTAAAAGCTCGTTAAAGTTTATAAAGCTTTTTTTTTCAGATAATGAGTACGATACAATTTCATTGCAAGCTAGATATTTTAATTACAGTAATAATTTGCTATATTAATCAAAATCACTACTTATTAATGATAACACAAAAGTAATCTACATATTTATTGCTAAGCAAAATGATTTTCATTGAGAATTGATTGTTATTTAAATTAAGCTTAAGCTGAAACATGGTATCGTTACATACTCATATAACGTAATAGCTGATGTAATTCAAATATTAAGTCGATAATCCAAACCTATACGTTGTAGCTATTAGGTATTTATCATACATTATTATTTATTATAAACATACATATTTGTGGGCCTAGTGCCTCTGCCTCGGTGGTCTAGGCTAGCATGTACGATCACAATTCCGGAAGTCCTAGGTTCGAGTCTCGGGTTGGTTTCCCGGAGTTGGGAAGTTGACGGTGTTTTACCCCCTTGCCTTAGAAAGCACGTTAAGCAGTCTATCTTGCGTCTAACTCTTATTGGTCATATTAAGTAGTCGCTCCACAGGAATATCTCCTGCGCAGATGGCTAGTCTCAATGAGATTGGCCACCGTGGCAGTAATCGGTCGGGAGGACATTATATTATGTGCCCAGTGGCAATAAGCTCGCTTTGGGAACCGAGTGAACTGGGTTCAAGTCCTAGGTTCCGCAGCTCTGATATTTTCAAATGCGAATCATTTTGAATATAATCACCACTTGTTTTACGGTGAAGAAAATATTGTGAGGAAACCTGCATATCTGAGAAAACCTAGCAAATTTTTAGAAAGACGTGAAGTCCGCAAACACGCACTTGGCCGACGTAGTGGACTATGGCCTTATCTTTTACGTATTGAACGGAGGCCCGTGCCTCGCAGTGAGAAGTTAAAAAATAAGAGTTTATGGTATTAAATTTTTTGGTGTATATATTGTTTGTTTCTTTTTTAAATGGTAATAAAAAAGAAATGGTATAAACTCTATTTTTCTTTTTTTATATTATATATATATATATACACATACAACCTACATATATATATATATATATATAAAGTAATATTATTATAATTTTAATAACTCAATGTAATAAAATTGAATCAAAATAAATCTACATAATAGCCAAAATTATGTGAAGCAACTCATGCTTAAGCCTCTGTGGTATAATAAATAAACAAATATAAAATTTAAATACATATAAATAACAGCTACACACTTTAATAAAAGTCAAAGTTAGTCGTATGTTGATTACTCAATTACACATAAAATATTATTCAACTATAACTAACTATTCCATTTATTGCTTTTATTCTATCACATTATTCTATCACAAAGACTGTTTTTATATAAAAGTAGCTTTAGCCACTGGCATTTTTTTATCATGTCGTAGCGTTATATTTGACATTAGTTAATCTGTTTCCTAATTAATAAATTACATTTTACAATTATTATAGAGATTAGCTCATGTCTCGTATTATCTATATATACAGATAGATAAAATTGTAGTGTCTGTTTGTAATGTCAAAATAACAGTCTTTTACTAAATGCATATGAAAGGTTTTCTTTCTGTCTATTATTATTTGTCTGTGTGTCTGTTTTTCCAACTTATTTTGACGGAACTTCCACTGGCAGATTGCTGATGCTATAA